CATATAATACTTTAAAGTGATTAAGTTATTATAAATGACTCCTCTTTTCTATTTGCCGCTAGGATGTGACCAATCAATCTATGTGACAAATAAGCACTAACTAATTAATTTATATAAATTAATTAGTCAGTGTTTATTTGTCACACCAATTGATTGGTCACATCCTAGCGGTAAAGGAAAGATAAGTTGTCTATAACAATAATAGCGATAGACTTAATCTATTTAAAGTTTTTAATTAATGCTATAAATCATATAACAAAGCCATTAATAAAAATTTATATAAATTCAGATCATCAAAAGTATTTCGAAAAATAAATCAGATTACCCCGAAATGAACCTTTTTGCGATTCCAAATAAATACAGTAAAACCACTATAAGTGTTTCTCTATATGTGTACAACTCTATATACACACTCAAATTCGGGCAAATTATATAGATAATCTTCGTAAATGCATAATTCTCTAAGTACATGCTGTTAAAGGCTGGTCCCAAACATTTACACTTATAGAGTTTTACAGTATTGGTAAATTAAACCATTCTAACAAATATTAAGAATAGTTTATGATTATTTTACAAATATATTTCGGATACAATAACAAGAGTAATCAATTGTGAGTTTTATTTTTATTAGCATTATAATAAATAAAGCTTGGAATTTATTTATTCGAAAAGAATTAAGCAAATGCTTTATACTATCTAAATAATACAATATATATATATAATATAATATGTATATATATGTATTTACATATTAAGTTCTTTTTTCATTTTTGCAATATTTAATCTTTTAAGTTCTAATTCAGCTTCACGTTCTTCCAAAGCAATTTCTTTTTCACGAATTGCTAATTTTCTTTCTGCTTTATCTAAATCTATATTTGTAGGTTTAGTTTTATGTTTAACACTATTAGATTTTGTCCATTGTTTTTTTTCTGGAATTAATTTAGTAGAATTTTTTTCATTTATTTGCTAAAATATAGTAAATTATATTGTTTAATTAAATATTTAAATTAATTATATAGTATTTAAATTTATATATACTTACAGTTCTTTCATATAGAATGAATTGTTCTTGTTACTATGCCTTGATCATGGCTAGCATAAGATACCCCAGAAATATCATGTATTTTTCTTGAGTGAAGGTTCTTTTATCTTCTAAAAAACCTCTATATAAATAAAATAATATAATTTTAATATATAATAAATAAATAAATAAATAAAGTTTTATAAATAAATAAATAAATAAATTACTTTTGAATTGCTATGCGAAGACATAAATTTGTTCTATATCAATTTACTCTTGTGTGACTGCTTTCAGACATATTAGTATTATGTGAAACAGAATACCAAATATCAACTAAAATATTTAAAAAGGTAGGATTTAAAGATGCAATAACCCAATTAGTAGAATAAAATTTAATCTATCCTAAAATTAAATAATTTTAATAAATTAATTTTTAATTATCATAGAATTTTAATTAAAAATTTATTAGTTTATTATAAAATTTTAATTAATAAATTATCTTCAAGCTTATTATTATCAATTTGTTTAAGTATGTTAAATATTTCTTCAATACGTATTTTTGTAATAGTATTAGAAATTTCCTTTATTAATTGTTTAGTATTTTATTATGTTCACAATTATGAATACTTCTAATAAATTTAATTATTAAATTATTAAATTATTAAGTGATAGTTCGCAGCTAAAGGATATAAATTTCATAGTAAAAATCAGCAGGCATTACTTATAGATTTTAATAGTAGCTAGAATCCCAAAAGTTTTTTACTAGGGGTACTATGAAAACTATTTTTTTTATTAAGTAAACTTTCTTTAGCCTTCTAATTAAAGTTGTAGAAGAGGTCTTTGCGGTTCTATTGATGGTAAAATTGCTAACATTGACCCAGTACACCATGAGATATTAACAATTTACATTTCACGATCATATGAAATTTTCTTTGTAATCGGCAAAGAAAATTTCATATGATCGTGAAATGTAAATTGTTAATATCTCATGGTGTACTAGATCAATGTTAGCAATTTTACTATCATTAGAACCGCAAAGACCTCTTCTACAACTTTAATTAGAAGATCAAAGAAAGTTTACTTAATAAAAAAAATAGTTTTTATAGTACCCTAGTGAAAAACTTTTGGGATTCCAGCTACTATTAAAATTTATAAGTAATGTCCACCGATTTTTACTATGATGCTTATATGATTCTTATATTCTTTAATGGCGAACTACCTCT